GCTTCCATTGTTGCTGTAAGAAAGTACTCACCTGTGGTCTTTTCATAGTGCCAACATCCTGATTGATGAGCCAACAATTATGCTATCAGGTGTTTGGTCAGATGGAACGTGTTTCTTGTGTGTGTGTGTGTGTGTGTGTGTGTGTGTGTGTGTGTGTGTGTGTGTGTGTGTGTGTGTGTGTGTGTGTGTGAGAGAGTGCGAGTGTGTGTGTGTGTGTGTGTGTGTGTGTGTGTGTGTGTGTGTGTGTGTGTGTGTGTGGATCCGGATGGTTACTAATTCCTTTATTACGGTAGTTTTGGACCGGGAACACCATGGATGTTACAAAGTTGACTAAATCATCCAAAATCAAATGAAAGTGTTGATCAGCAATTGTATATGTTCAAATGTCTACTGTAAAGGATATCATGAAGCCTTAATGCAATCGAATGTAAGACAAAAAAGTTATGATTGATGAAAGTAGTAAATCGGTCAGATTTCACCCGAAGACAACAGGAGGGTTAAAAAGTGTGTTCTGTTACCGAGGTTTAATGTCACTTTACTAATATAACAAAAACATGCATTTCTTTCTGGATAGTGCTTGATATTTCCAGTGAAGTTTACTAGTGCATTTCCTTCTGTAATAACAGATCAATAGGATCATCTATTGTGCTCCAAAGTGCTTTATACGTCACCTGGTGCAGAAGCTTTGCACGTTTACACCATCCTAAGCCCAACCAAACATGCTGTGACTTTCTTTAAAACCTGACAAAAAGCCCTCTCTGTTAAAATGTACGGAATAAGCCTCTCTTGGATAACTGAAAAGCTGCGTTTTGAAGGGATGTTATTGTTCATTTTGACTGACCAGAGAGGAACAGCTTCCTAGAGAGAGGAAGAGCTTGAAGCTGTGTAAAAGAAGGCCATCATCACTAATGATTTAGGGTGGGATCATGCCCTCAGCTGTCGCCTTTAAATTCCTTCCAGTAAACAGGATGAGTTAAAGCTCAGCCTGGGAAGGGACAGTATAACTGTCTTATTGTCTTAACCCCTGGATAGAGGCATGGATCTTTCACGAGCTGACATCCCAGAGGTTTCCAGCGCCAGAGGAACGGCATTGTGGGTAATGTGAGCCGGCCTCTCATCCTGCAGAGCTGCGGTCAAAAACCGAATCAACGGCCGTGCAAAAAGAAGTTCAGTCGGACAAAAGACGATGAGATCTTAAGAGAAATAGAAGTTTGTGAGAGGAAGAAAGTACGCCTTATAATCTTATAATATAAAGATACCAAATGTTTTTTAATAATATTCAAACCTAGAACATTTGAATCAAGCTAGCTGTCCATTTAGTTTGGAAAGCATTGTGGTTTTCTTTTAGACGCTTTAATAAATTGACTTTTTCTCTAGTTTTAAGTCAAATGTGTGCGATGTACTTGTCAGATCTTGGTTTCTATTTAAAAGATATTGTAACTAGATTACATATTTTATTCCAGAGACATCTCGATGTTAAGTTATCAAATGTTGAGCTAACGTTAGCAGCAGCCAGACCTCATTTGAAAAACACTCATTGTTAGCTTTAATTTGCCTCATTCAGTGTTTTTATTAGTTTTCATCACCAGATATGTTTCGTTTGGATAGTGAAGATTTGTTCGTTGTTCTCGAGTCCAGGGGAAAGTTAAAAAGAGACAATGTAGTCTCGAAAAGGTTCAGATGGGTAATTTAATGAAAGTGACGTGGTTTTGAAACAGTTCGGTTGCGCCATGTTTGGGTGGGGGGCAGAAGAGAGAGCGATTCTACGTGGAGCGAGCTAATGTCCAATTCCTGGCTCCTCCTCTCATTGGCGGGTCTGACGAAAGGGGGTCCTCCGTCCACTCGTTCTTCTAAAAAGGATTTAGACGTTGTGTGTTCATTGTATAACTCCACACGGCTTTTCTCCTCGTATTCTCATTCATGACTTTTTATTTAATGCATTTAACGGCTGTAATCATTGTTAACGTGAAACCGGAAGTGACGTCATTGTAAACAACCTAGACGTCTTTCAATAAAGCTTTTCAAAATAAAACTGTACATTCATTTAACATCCAGCAATAACGTTAGCCACAAGCTAATGCTAACCGGAAATGAAGTATTTTCAGAATAAAACTGTTTTAAGCTTA